CCGGGTTATGCTTGGCGTGGAACAAGTGATTGGCGGAGTTGAAATTATCAGCTATGAGGCCAAATTTGGCACTGCCGTTCTGATTGGTCGAGGCTTGGCGCCGACCGAGCTGCAGAGATCTATTAATAGATTAATTTTTATTTAATCCCTGTCTCGGCCGGTGTCTCGTTTCGCAAAGCCCATACCCCTGTTAATAGCAACCATTCAGAAGGCCTTGCGCTTTCAACTGTTAGCGGCGTAACAGGTCGCTCGCATATTGTTGACAATCGCAACTCACAAACTCGCATAACTCCGGTCGTCAAGAAATTGTACAGGTGTAATACGGCGCCAACAGCGAAGGGATGAATGACGCCGCGGCTGCGATTATTTAAGGCACGTTTTTAGCGCAGGTAGTTAGTAGTTGGTACTGTAGTTGGTACTATTGCGATGGCCTATTACTTTACAGCATTAGTAGGTATCCTCTGTACCTATATATTGTACATAGGTAGCTGCCTGTATGTAGTAGGGAATTATGGAGCTTAGAAGACCCACTGGATTGAGCTTGTTAACGCTTCAGGCCGAGGTCAAGTAGCGAACTTGTTTCAAACACTGCCTTTGTCCATAGTGGCTGTACCCCAGTTCTACTGCCCATGTCGGCCTTGCGCTAAGGCCAAGTGCTCCCTCTAGCGCAATCTCAATCCCATCCCAATCCCCATTCCATTCTTTCTCCTCCCCTCCAAATTCACCCATTCATCAGTCAACACACACAACAATTCCACACAATCCAGCGTCCTCCGTCCTCCACCGCATCCATCTGCCTTTCCCTCTTCTCTACTTGCGCCCACCCCCGGGTTTTTTTCCTGGTTCTTTTCCCCCCTTGTTCACTTGTTTCGAAAGGCCGCGTGCGAGAGTGCATAGGTACTGGTGTCTGTCTCTCCGAACGCTTGTCATCTTCCAATTAATTCTATCCTAACGATTCTCCCAAACCTCCCTTCGTATCGTACATTACCAGAGACGAACCCGTATCGCCAACCGCCGCACTGCCTACCTGCTACCCGCAAACAGTCCATTATTAACGTCTACATGGTACGCAAGGTAGTAGGTAGACTGTGTTGACTTCCTAATGGCTTCCGAATGCTAGCAATTTGAAACACAAAATACACCTACTCTCTCTATTCTATCTCTTTTAATACTTGACCGGTACATTCTACTCTTCTTAAGACTCTTCATTCATTGTTCTTTCTTGCCTTTTCGGCTTCTAGTGCAGTCTTACGCAGACCTATACTTTCTCCCCCCGACGCAACTACCGGTTGTCTACTCAGTGGTTCTCAATTATTGCGAAAGACGTTATGGGCGTGTGTGTCTCGGCCTAAGTGAGGATTATAAATAGGTGGCCAGACTCAATTTGTCTGGTGGTGACTACTGTGAAAGAGACGGAGAAAGCAATTTAGGAGTAAGAAAAAAAAGGATACAGCAGCGCTGTCCTGCACAAAGCATATTCAAAGTCGTTGAACTACGACATCGTTCGTTAACGGTTTGTTAATTGTGGAATTATTTACATCCATTTGGGCCAATTCACTTGCGACGCGACACCAATCGAATAGTCCAGGCCCTGAATACAGGAAAGAGGAAAGAGGAGATTGAATATAAGTGATAAAGAGTAGGAATTTAGGGAACGTTTCGTGGCGCTGTTAAAAATGCCTTCGGCCACCGCTAGACGAATGTACGAGGATCAAATACCCTCATTCATGTCCATATTCGACCCCGAGGCAGACAATAGTATTGACGAGAGGGGATTGGTGACTGTGGTAGACCCTAAGTTGATGGAGATGGACTCGTCGTGTGCACCTGGGCACCTGGCTGGTGGGTTACCACAACAACATGCGTTGCTACGGCCCTTACCGACAGATTCTTCGCACCGTCACCACGACAGCACTTCGACACAAAATTCCGAGTCTGCAGATTCTTCTCCCACAACAACTTTAACAACAGATACTTCTTCGCTTTCTGACCCGTCGCCGTCATCTTCTCCCGATTCACCTGTCAATCTAATACCTTTAAATTCTTTTCCGCGTACCAATTTTGGTGGCCTTCCATCCACGATGAACAACCTCACCGTAAATGACCCTAGCATCCGGGAGAGACCAATGACATCTCCTTCCCCCAGGCGAGCAAGGAACATGAAAGGTCTGTCTATCCAGCCGCCGTTTGCTAGCTCACTTTCTTCCAATTTGGTATCCGAACCTTCTTCGCCTTCCTTCATCAAGCCAAAGATTCCGGCCATGAAGCGAAAACCTAGCCAGCTTAGTTTGAAGACTGATTCAAACGGTCTCAATATTCGACCGACTATTCTCGAAGTTCCGGGCTCCCCAGCTCTCCCAGCTCTTCCACCGATTCTACAACGCAGATCATTGAAACACTCGACATCTTCGCCTCATATGCTTTCTGGGTTGAAGTCCTCAACTTTTGGTCCGGCCGGTGGCATGACCTTCCCGACTGTTCTTGAGCGCGGCACTTCGGGTTTGTCTGAAGTATTACGTCCGACAAAGCAGGGAGGTCACTGCCCGGGTTTTGATACCGCTATTCTTGAGGAGGATTCGCCCATTAAGACACAGCTCGCGAATCGTGCTGCGATGGACTTCGAACCCTTCATCGAACCGGAAAACAACGAAGACCAGAAATCGCCAGGATATCCTGACGGACCTATCGCGATCTATGATGACAATGTTTATCTCTACTTGGAACCTACCGCAGAGGAAGCATCGAAATTCGACGTGGTAATAAACGTAGCTCGTGAGGTGACCAACCCCTTCCAGGCTACAGGCAAGAATAGCCTAGAAGATTTGAAGATGAGCCAGATAGACTCGCCTGTCCCCGATACTGCTATGACAAACGACAGTTTCGCGACAGCATTCGAGTATCCTCCGTCGGGTGAGAATTCGGAAACACCAACAACTCCAAAGGGGAACTCGCTTCTTGAGCCTGAATACATCCATATGCCATGGGATCACAATACTGATATCGCAACGGATCTCATGATGCTTTGCGAGACGATCGAGAAGCGTACGAAAGAAGGAAAGAAGGTTCTCGTTCACTGTCAGCAGGGCGCAAGTCGCTCGGCTAGTTTGATCATTGCCTATGGTATTTACCAAAACCCTGGGCTGACTGTTAACGACGCTTACTACGCTGCGCAATCGAAGAGCCGATGGATCAGCCCGAATATGCGGTTAATGTACTGCTTACAAGACTTCCAGAAGCAGGTGGGCAAGAAGAGGCTCGCTCCTCGATCTGCTGCGGGACCTCGAAGCGGAAGAAGCCCCACAAAGCATCACCGTCTTACACTCTCCGCAAACGCGATTGATGTGCAACCGAAAGAACCGATGACGGCTCCATTGCCGGACGAGAAAGAGGGAAGTGCCAATGGCGCTAACACAGAACGTTCTCCGAGTCATTCCCGTGGAAAATCCACTCCGAACCTGGAATCGATATCTCCCGGCCCATCGTCTGCTCCATCAAGCTTCTCCTGGTCTGAAAAGGAAGATCCAAAGGATCCCGGCAAACCTGGACGCTTCAACTTTGGGGGCTCCCTTGAACCGCCTAGATTCTTCGAACCGACTCCGCAGCCGAGCCAGACATCCTTACTTCGACCGGCTCCGTCTTTTTTCAAGCCACCTCCGTCACCAGGGTTCTTCAAACCTCCTTCATCTCCAGGATTTGGTCCGAATGGTCCTTCGAGCTTCGGATTCAGCTTTAATTCCGGCCCTAGTTTCGAACAACGCATGGAAGAGTCAGATAACGAAGGAGATATACCGGTTGCAATTGTTCCGCCAGATGACGACACCCTTATGTCCCCTAGAGCCGAAATTATGACGGACAATCCTCTACACGACTCATATTCGGAGATGGCGGGCCTGAAATTTGTCGAGGTCCCTCCTACGCCCAGCGAAGGCCTCTTCTCTCCGCGACAGTCGATGTTTCCGAGAGATCCATTCTACCCGTTTGGACGTCCTACTCAAGTCGCCGATCCGAGAAGCCCTCCTACTAAGGGTGAGACGCCTATCGTTCGATCCATCGACGACGTATTATAGTCCTTCTAACCGTCGCAAGTACTTGATGTGATATGCGACGTATGCTATACGAAATTCACATGCACTCCGAGCCTAAGATTTACTTGGGATGAGCCAATAGTCTTTTTCATTTGTTTACAACTTCAGACCGTCACTTTGTTTTCCTACCAAGTTGTTTATTTTGTTGGAGTGGTTCAGGCAGCACCGGAACGGCGGAATCAAATACCCGGACGGTATAAGTTGCGAGGCCTCTCCTAAAAGGATTGGAGAAGCTCGCGCGGTTGGTTTTTGCGGCTAGCCATATGGAAACCCCGATTGGTGGTTTGGAAGGCGAGAAAAATACAAGGGGACGAAGCCAAGGTTGTACGTCAAGGAGTATTATTTGGAATACAGAACAGAACCGGCAAGGAATCAAAGCTGGGGCACACGAGGATCCCATCACTACTTTCTGCTTGGACTGGTCTTGTCTGCACTAGCAACTTGACCGGCCGGCTTTTCTTAACAAGGAGATCCAGCACGCGTCGACCGTCCCCGAATCCAATCGTCCTCTCGTTCTGCCTCTGCTTTCGAGCGTATACGAGGCGTATACTCATAAGCCATGACGACTGGAATCGGGATTAGTATAAGCTCGTACCCGAGGGTGCGGGCAGAGCAACGAGCAAGCAACGGCGTTCGAGGGAGTCTGGAAAAAAATTAGCTAATTCGGAGGTTGGGGACATAATGCGTCCTCGAACCTCCCCCATCTTGTAAATATAATTCACGAATGTCAATGGGAGACGCGCAGCTTGGCGTGTCTCGTTCATAAACTTCTTGTGTTGGTATTTGTGTATCAAATCGAATGTGAAAGTAATATTGGTTTGCTTTTCTGGTTGGCTCGCGATATCAGGACATAATGCCCTAAACTTGAGACGTGATATGTACCTACGTATTTTTAATCAGGATAATAGCCATAGGAGAAAACTCTGTTAAAGTGCTCTTCATAGGTCAGTCATACTTGAGTCTCTATTCAACTCACCTATACATACATGCAAACAAGTACCTAAGATAGCTTTATAAGGGATTAAAAGGGGGGAGACAGATGATTTCATCTAGAAATAGGTATATAGGTATCTATATTCCTCTCCCCTGATGCGCCAAAACTACCAATGGCACAATTCTCTAGCAAGCGCTTTTTCTTTGCCCGTCCTCCTCTTGTAGTTAATCTCCAGAGAGTATATACATATTGATATCCTTCTATATACAGACGTATAAGGCGGTGGATATACATACCTACCTACCATAACCAACCTATCGGCTAGCTAGGTTAGTCTAGTCCAACAAACAAACAAACAAACAAACAAACAACTAAATTCGACCAGCTATGCCGAGACAAAGACAGAGAATACCGAATACAACAAAAAGCAAGGCGAGGAAGGGCAAATCACAAAAGAGAATGCGGGTAGTGGAACAAGTAAGTTCATCGCCCTTTCTTCCCGCTCTCCTCAACAGCCCTTCGCTTCGCCGCCTCCTTGGCTAGTTTCTCCTGGCGGGCGATGGCAGCCTCGACGCCGATGCCGCCGAAGACGAGCCCGACGCCGAGGACTTGCATGCGCGTGAGGCGGTGGCCGAAGGCGACGACCGATAGGATCATGGTGAACATCTTGCGCGTGACTGTTACTGTGACCAGGAGGACCGAGGAGAAGGTGGAGAGCGTGTAGACTGTTGTTGTTGTTGTTGTCTTGTTAGTTTTCCGGTACCGATTCTTGCTGGACGGGAAATGGGAAGAGAAATACGTACAGATGAAAACCTGCCCGACGGCACCGCACGCCGCGAATCCAAGCACGTCAGCCCAGACACCCGGGTGCCGCGCCATGAACCCCAGCGCAGCCTCAAGCTCGCCCGCACCACCCGCAACATCGACGCCGAGCCACTCGCCGGCGCCAGTCCGCGCGAGCCACGGGCTCAGGACCAAGTACGCAGCCGTAACAGCGGTGCTCATCAGGTTATTCGCACACATCATCTGAGGGCCCGAATACGGCTGGAAGGCGCCGAAGATGTAATCCTGGGTGCTGTTGGTCAGGCCGTCGAAGAGGAGATTGATGCCCAGCAGCAGCAAGCCCCACGCGCTGTTCCCCCCGAGGCCCGCGCCGCTTTTCTTGTGGCTCTTGCCCGAGTGCAGCGTGAAGACGGCGACGCCGGCCGTGACGGCGGCTACGACCAGGTACTTGTACAGCGGATAGCGGCGGCGGAAGACGGTGACGTGGAGGAGCATGACGGGGAGTAGCTTGCAGCTCTTGGCAAGCAGGAAGGTGATGTAGTCGATGTGCGCGAGACTCGCGTAGCCGAAGGGGCTGGCGAGGGAGCTGGTGAGCGCGACGAGGAGGAGGGGCCCGAGGATGCGGCGCGAGGGGATGATGGGTGGGATGGCCTGTCCGCGTGGCGTGCTGGCGTAGAGGTACATAGCTCCCGTCGTCGCGGCGAAGAGCGACTGGATCGTGTTCAGGAACACCGGGTACTTGAACACTTCGGTCGCGCCAGGTGCGCCATGGGGTGTCGTCGTGAGTTTCTCTTGGAGGTAGGCCCAGGTGAGGCTGCGAAGGTGAAAAGCGATATGTCAGTCTTTATGCTATACCAATATAATATATCGTCATATCGTCATATCATCATATCCATCTCAATACGTACAAGGACCCATAGATACCAGCAACAGCAACCACTAACTGCGCTACGCCCGCGTCCTTCTTCGACGACGCCAGCGCGGGAGCTGCTGTTCTAGCAACGCCATTAGACCGCAGCGCTACATCGTCGTCATTCTTCTTTGGTGTCGAATTGTGATGCGAGATATACTCTGACAAAGGCTGTCTCTCGACAGGTTTGGCCTGCTTAACACGCGCCATGATATATTTATAGTACTATACTATAGTACTATAGATAGAACGAGTGTGGTAGAAGTGAAAACGCTGTAAACAAATGACTTGGCTATCATTCAAGTTAGCCGACTATCGAATCTACAAAACATTCCATAACTCTTGGGAAATGTGCAAGACCCTCAACTTAAAATAGGCGACGAGAGAGTTGGTTGGTAGTAACGAGCTTAACACATCAGCGCCTGATGACAGATTGGCCACTTACATAAGTACATGTAGGTGAGCTAAATACGAAGTACCGCCGTAGAATAACGGCAGAATTATGCTGCAATTATACTACATCTGCTAGGCGGTGTGGCCCGCCCCCTGCACTACATCTTCCACTAATGTACGGATTATACGATGATACTATAGTCCCGGCTGATCACCCATGGACAAAAGATAAAACTATAATATACCTGTCTGAATGTTACGCTTAATAGTCTGCTCTTACGTCAAACACCAATCACACGACTAAGGTGATCATGCACATGGGGGTTGTTGGTCAAGTTTCCTTTGTCTACTGCTAGATACTCCTTATCTAGACATCTTAGAACATCTCGATCCATCCCTCGTCAATTAACTTCAAGGAATGTTTACTGGCTTACTGGCTAAAGCACAATGCCGGTCCAATGCTGCTCCCCCTTCTTTTTTTTTTTTTTTTTTCAACGTCATGAAGAATCACTTGCAAACTAGCCACCACCATTCTTATGCTTTGCTTTCCGATACGTTGGCCATAATCATGGTATTGTTGATGTATTGTTGATCTTCAAGGTACGCTTACTATCTTGCCTGGGCAACACCACCTCCCAGAAGCCATCCCGCCGGCTCACTGTGGGAAGTGAGCACTATGGTATAGACGTATTCGAGATACAGTATGGTTGGGGTTTCTTTCGTGTTTTCTGACGTTAGGAAAGTGAGATATGATCGAGGGGTAATTTGTGTCGTGGATTAGAGGATAAAGGAGGGAGTAATCTTAGCACTATGACAAGACGAGGGTCGACGAGTCGCCTAAGAGATGGAGAAGTTACTGATTATGGCCGATGCGCGTGTTTAGAAGCATGGATTAGGTCGTATCTAGTACGCCGGGCGGGAAGTCGATACAACAAGGATGCTGACGCATGGGGACGGATGTGTCAAGTGAATAAGAGCTCTGCGAGGTCTCGCGCAGCACCCAGCCTGGGTATCGAAGTTCGAAATTGAGGTGTCGAGTGGTTGCCGGGAGTCTGCCGTGCATCAGGTGTGAGGACACGTGTCCGTAGAGGTGATGATTTCTTCGACAAAATATTAAGGAAAGGGGATTTGTGACAAGGCAATAAATGAAGTTTGCCTTTGGGTAAAGAGAAAATCGTCATGTCATATCATAGGAACCGTCCCAAAAACAAGGGACGTCAGCCTTGCGGCAAGTCAAATCTGAAGTGCCCCTTCAAAACGCAGGGTACGTCGCGAAATCAGGCCCAGCAATAGAAATATTCCAGATAGATGAATAGGTTCCTGGCCTCTCTGTAATGGCCATCACATCCCGTAACAGCGAGATGAGCCATTACTCGGCGGATTGCGATTGGCTGCGGCGCATCTTCTCTGCCTCGAGATTCTCGTAAAGAAGGAACAGCGCAGATTCGTTGGCTTTCGCAGTTCCCATTATGGTGAACATTCGCTCGCCAGTTTCGTCGTGAGGTGCCTGTGACATTTTCAGTCGTTAAGCCCTAACAAGACAGTTAGATTAGACTTACCTTGGCAATAGAAATGCGGGCGCCAGATGTCTTGCGGATCTCGCTAATCTTGCTTCCGGCACGTCCAATGATGCATCCAACCATATCTGCGGGGATGCTAATGTTCTGAGTCTGGATCTCTTCTCCATTCTCATCGTGCGTTGGCGGTCCACGGGTGGCCGCATCAGAGTCCGACCGCCGATTGTATGGACGCACACCCCCATTGCTAAAGTCGGCACCGTTTCCAGTTCGCATCACACGAGTGCCGCCGTAATCGCCTCTACTGGACGAGTTGCTGTACGCTACCCCGCCAGTATTGGAAGCACCACCAAGGGACCCCGCACCGCCGGGCGCGGTTCGAACGACAGGATTGTAGAGTACAGTGCCGGTGCCACGCTGCCAGTCATCGACTAAGCACTTGCAGATTTCCCAGACAGCTCGCTGAATGCCGTCGGGTGTTCCCTGCAGCTCGACGATTCTCTCGGTCGATTGCGGTAGCATTTCCTTCTGCGCGACCATGCGCACGCCGGAGACGTCTTGGATGTGCTTGATCTTTAGACCTGCTCTGCCAATGATAGTACCCATCTGATTGTGGGAGATGAGTAACTTGATTTCTTGACGGTCGGGTTGTACATTAGTGGCGCGCTGCGAATAGTAAGTGATCGGGGGACGCTCACGATGTGTTCCGCTGCTCTGTATAACGCCTCCCATTCCCACCGAGGGAGCGCCTTCCAACAGCGCGCGAGCGACGATAGAGTACGCTCTAGAAATGGATTCGCAGCCACCCGAAATGGTCAGAACACGGTCATGCACGCCTTGCACGACCTTGCTCACGCCGGCTTTGACCCCGGTTTCATCCCTCAGGTCTGCGACATTCTTACCTCCCTTACCGATTATGACTCCTGCTTCTTTGGAGGAGACGATGGCGCGAAGCGTCAATTGTGCTACGGCATATTCCTCGTCAGTCCTAGGTGCGGGTTCGCCATCCGGGCCTAAGCGAGGCTCGTTCTCATCAAGCTTCAGATCGCCCATGGATAGCGACGGCAGATCGTTACCATTCGGCGAGAGAGAGTCTTGGGCAACAGACATGTTGATGGGTAGGTTGTGTATGACGATGTTAGTTTGGGGTGGTATTTGCTATGTCAGCCGCGTCTGACTGGGTGGTTTGATCCGAGTTAATTAGGAACTAGCAGCTCCCAGTGTCTCCTCGAAGAGCTATGGGTGCGCAGGAGATCTTGTTGGCTGACACTGAATGGGGGCGGGTGTACGTAGAAAAAGTGGTACAGGAGTGGATTGCTGTAAGCTCCAGATCTGGTGGTAAAGGACAGGCTGCACGCAGTTAGCTCTGATAAGCTGTGTGTTGCTGCGGGGAAGGTATCTGTCAATGGTCATGTATGGGAAGGATGCGAGGCTCAGAAGAGGAAAGAGGGCCAAGAAACGGTTGAAACGAGATTGGCAAACAGATCTTATCTCGTCAGAGGCTGTTGCATCTGCACGATTTTGGCATGTGGTTGTAGAAAATAGAAATAAAGATACAGCCAATGCAGAACCATTAGGAAGAAAGGGTAAGTTATTATGCGAAACTGGGGCTTGAATAGGCGGGGCACTGCATACTTGACTGACCTTCCGCTGCTGTGTCTGTGCTGCGCAGTATGTCTTCAAAGAAATTCTTGCGTTCTAGCCGGGTCTGGTTGGTGTTGCGGGGTGGGAAGTTTTTTTTTTTTTTCTTTTTCCTTTTTCCCCTCTACTGTTCTTCTCGCTTGTTTCCCTACCTAGGGTCTTGCTATCACAATCCACGCGAGAACGGGGACGTTTTAGATTTTTAGATGGAGACAGGGACTGCAGTCGACGGTTGGGTCTCGGCAGGCCGGCCAAGGTGGCCTAGTAAGTATGTAAGGTAGGTAACGGTGCGTTTGACCGGGGTTGGATAAGCGGCAATGGGTTCTAAATAAGGAAATAGGCCAATTGCGACAACTAGTACCGTATGTACCAGCGTGGGCTGTGTCTCTGGTGAAAGAAGTTGGTTGGTCCAGATAGGACAAAGAAGAGTGAAGGGGGCGTTCGAATGTATGGGAAGAGTTTAGTGGTTGAGGGGTGAGAGAAGGAAAACGACGAGGAGGATGAGGATGGAGAGAGGGGAAGGAGGTTGATAGAAGTGAGGTTACGGAAAGGTTGTATGTATGGCGGGAGGGTTGGTAAGGAGGAGATAGATGAGTTTGGATTTTGGTCGAGGCGAGAAAAGGTACGGAGAAGGAAGTAAGAGAGAGGGAGACTGGGAAGCAGGATTGAAGAAGGAACCTGGAAGCGTAGGCGACTAAGAGGTAACAGGCCTAAGAGGTAAGAGGTAAGAGGTAAGAGGTAAGAGGTATGGAAGTCTCGACTACTATTATGTATGGTAGACTACAATTTAGGACAAGGTTGGGTGCAGCAAGCACGTTCTTGCGTCGGTAGTACCTACTATCCAGCTAGTACCGATACAATACCTAACGCACATACCTTACCTACACGGTTCATCATAGGTTTAGATAGAGAAGGTACATTCCCACGTAACTCTATTTTGCGGGCTATCGCCTACACATGGGTATAGGTATCCTACCTTACCTAGGTACCTATGTATGTACCTAAACTCCATACGGCATTTCTCATGTCTTTCTTACTTAATCCATCTAAGTCAGTTGCCAAGACACCAAGGCGCTTACACCTATATAGGCATATACTATACATATACTATATACTATATACTACCTATGTAAGTAGGTAATGACGTAATAGCACCTCGTTGACGACGGCAGGCCTCGTAAAGAGCATATGCAAGAACAAGTAGACTTTTTTTAAGTCGATATCGCCTATTAAAAGTTAAAGATGCCTCTAATAGTATGTACATTAGCATCAGTAACCGTGCCACCTGCAGAAAGAGACGTGGGGAGTTCGGATAGAGAAAGAGGGGTTCCTTATGTAAATCCCTGGCATTACGTACTTACACTACTCACGCGCATTCGGTAAGCAGGCAAGCAGACTCGGGTCTGATGTATCAACTAGCTGATTCCGGTAACTACCTATGTAGGTAGTTACCCAAGTAGCCTATATTATTCCCGGTAACACTTGAAAGAAACATTCCAGGGGGGTTCACTTAAGACGAAAAACCAAATATGTTGATATGTATTGGTTCAAGTCTCATGATCGAGTCTCAATGCGCATAATCGGAGTCTTCCGTATTTAAGTACCAGTTGTAAACAACCCAAACCTTCCATGGTACCTGGACTAATGAAAGTTAATACTGCACTCAGGTAGAAGCATGATAGGTACAAGCACGGGTATAGGCACGCACACTTCCATTTATGTACCTAAGGTACCTTTATACCTATTACCTAGGTAGGTATACATGCATTTCTCCACTTTTCTTTTGAACGCCTCACTTTAATTCACCTATTGATTGTTTCTTCAACGCTTTTACCACTTACATTGCTACATACCACCAACTATGGCAGCAGTTTCCGATATATATTCCTATTTGTAACGTGACAAGCGACCCTACGCAAAGGTATTGGTGTATTAGTTTTGAAATATAACTATGTCTACATCATAAATGATAACTTGCATATGGGTCCC